GTTGACAATGAGGTACAAGTGATCTGGATTTAAAGACTAAGTTGGAGACCAGCAGATGGCGTAATGGTTACGTCACTGGACTCCCACAGATCAAGTCCCAGACCCGGTGGCTTAAAATTCATGCCGCATGTGTGTGTCCAAGATCCCATGAGAAGAATGGAGGAGAAGGGTGTGACCATCCCCCCATGAGGTGATTTCTCGCTTCCTATACTCTCCACTGAGGGCACACGACCTATAGCAAAAAATCTCCAAGAAAAAAGGACTAAGTTGACAGTCACGTTCCAAGTACAAACCTCATGAACCACAGGCCTATAAATTAGGAGAAAGGCTTTTTTGGGGGGGAAAAGAAGACATTTCATGTATTCAGATACTACCTGGATCAAGTTAATACTGATCAAATGACTCTTCTATTTTTATTTTTAAATTTTTTCTTAGGCTTCTGTCAAAAAAAAAAAAAAAAAAAGACAACTGAGGGAGGCCATAGTTTGCCTTACAGCTTGGTTTTTGTGTATTACGGGGAGGACTAGTGGGTACCCTTTCTGTAAGACTATGGTATTTCTGGCAAAGAAGAGTCACGTCCTACAGGGTCTAAACATAAAAAAAAATTAAGTGATAGTACTGTCTTCTGTAAAACTCGCCTCAACAGTCTGCAATAATGAGTTTTCGGCACCCAAATCAAAGACACTATCAGAGTTCAGTCACTCTGAACTAGAGGGAAACAATGGGTGATGGTGCTATACCACAGTTGTTCTCACATGGAGGTGGTTGGACATTCAGGCCGCATTGGAGCACGGTTTGACTCAACAATCGCCACTTGTTTCAAGTTAAAAAACACTGCAGTCATATCACTGTAGCAGATGAAACTATTCAGTTAAGGGCGAAAAGAAACAGAGATAAGCTGGCAGACCTACAGAAGCAATGGCAAGTCATGGCTTGCAAAGGTCAAACAATAAATGAAGCCAACAGAAGCAGCATGGAATCATGAGATGCACATCACTCAGGTAAACGAAGAGAAAATTCTTTCACTATTCCTGTGCTACTGCTATCTACCTAGAGGTTACTGCAATAAAGGAAATTTTCCAGCTACATGTTTTTATTTGCCATTGATCTGACTGGTTCACATGTGAACCAATGAGCTGGAAGACAGGAGGAGCCAGGAGTTACCTGCATTTCAACAGGAAATGACAGAAATCTTTATTAAATAATAGTATTTAAGGAGATGATAAAAGGATTTAGGTGTCAGAACACAAAATATGCAAAAATGGGATTAGAAGTTCTCCGTCTGGGAGCAAAGGAAACAGCTGATGAGCAACAATGAACAAGCTTGTTTCCTTACCCAAGAGCATGGGAGAAATTACTCCACCATGCCAGATGCCAGAAGATTTCTAACCATGCAGTAGAGGGTGGGAGAAAAAAATCCAAAACAAACCCCACATCATATAGACACACATCAATACAACCATGTAGCTTAGAGACACTGGCTTACAAAGAATGGAGAAAATAAAAGGAACAGATGCTCACTTGGCCAGCTCTCAATGAAGCTCATTAAAATCATCACCCTGCCCTTGGACTGGTGTTCATGCTAAGATTTTACCTTGTTTAGCCAGAAATCACCCACTTGTGATGAAACTAAGTGTAGGATAGCCAAAAAGGAGATTATTCTTTTTTTTTTTTTGAGAGGTTTTCGCTATAGGGCGCGTGCGCTCGCCAGACAGAGAGAGACATAGAGACAGAAAGCAAGAAATCACCCCCCAGGGGGGATGGTCACGCCGCAATCCCTTCTCCTCCATTCTCCTCTCGGGATCTTGGGCACGCACGCACACGCGCCCAGTGTGAGATTTAAGCCACCGGGTCCAAGACGCGAACCGCGGTCGACTACATGGGAGTCCAGCGACATAGCCATTACGCTAACTGCTGGTTCCCAAGGAGGTTATTCTTAAAGGCTCAATAATTACACCCCTGCCTCCACACATAAATGCTGAATATAAAACAGGAGCAATCAACACATGTAGGCATGACTAAATGACTGAATATAAACATATAATTTATAACATGTTTTGTAGCAAATGATTAAGATGTGTATTTAAAAGACACTTAACTGAAGTTTTAAACTATAATTTTAAATAAATTTGGATATTTCCTCATACGGATCACTCCAATGGTTCTGTTCTATACATTGCTGGGTAGTCCCATCCTTCACGTGAGGGTGCAGCAAAAAGGCGCCAACTTATGATCTTCATCAACACTGGGTCTGGTAGTGCCCTCAGCTTGGACTTCCCAGTGTCTACAACTGTACAAAATAAATTACTACTGCTGCTTCTTTCCCTCCTTCCTTCCTTTCTTCCTTCCTTCCTTCTTTCAACTGTAGGGCATGTGCACTCACCAGAAAGACAGAGACAGAGAGACAGAAAGTGAGAAATCACCCCCTGGGGGGATGGCCACGCCGCAATCCCTTCTCATCCATTCTCCTCTTGGGATTTTGGGCATGCATGCACACATGCCCGGCATGAGTTTAAGCCACTGAGTCCAAGACTCAAACCACAGTCAACTACATGGGAGTCCAGCGACATAGCCATTACACCAACTGCTGGTCCCAATTACTACTGCTTCTAAGTCTTCCAGTTCATGGTATTTTTGTTACAACAGTACAAAAGGAAATAGATCAGGGCTAGTTGGTGGCATTGTGGTTAAGGCACTGGACTCACACGTGTCCTTCTGTGGTTTGAGTTCCAGACCTAGAAGCTTGTTTTCCCACTTTCCATTTCTCTTTCTGTCTCTCTTTGGTCAAATTAAAAAATAAATGATAATAACAAATAAAATTAAATAAATAATTCATTCCCCCTTTTTTTAAAATTTCTGTCTCCCCCCCCCCCAGAGTGATTATTGCTATAGGGCATGTGTGCTTGCTGGAGAGACAGAGATGGAGTGAGAAATCATCCTACCTCCGGGGGATGGCCAGGCCACAATCCCTTATCCTCTGTTCTCCTCTTGGGATTGTAGGCATGCATACACATGTGCCTGGTGTTAAGTTCAAGCTGTTGGGTCTGGGACTCAAACTGTAATCAGTCATGAGGGAATCTAGTGCCTTAACCACCACACCACCATTCCTTTTTTTTTTTTTTTTTTTTTTTTTTTAAAGAAAAGAAATAGACTAACATGCTTGGGCTTTGTAGCAAAGGATGGAGAGACACTACATGTCTTAGTCCATTATTACATTGCTAACAGAAGTACCCAAGACTGGCTGATTTATAAAGAAATGGGGGCTTATTCAGCTTGTGGTTTGGAAGTCTGAGGTCCACGGCCAGGCTCTGGTGAGGCTACAACACAGCAAAGGGCAGGACCTTGAGTAGAGCAGCTGTCCCTAAATTTGTCTCTCATTACCTCTGCTTATTCCCAGCAGAGCTGGGAATAATGACCTTGTCACATCCAAGGCTCTACCTTGGGACAGCACAAAGGGATGAAGTTTTCACTTAACACCTTTATGATGAAATTAAGTCCCAACATGAATTTCCGGGAGACATCCAAATTAAAAAATATGAACTTTTGGGAGGACAAACCATTATCCAAACCTTAACATTTAAATGATACCAGTCTTGGCCTTAATAAGAAGGTCAAGTATATAGTACAATAGGTTAAATTAAAATACAGTTGGAAATGTTGAACAGTGACAGATGCCTGAATGGTTACAAAGCTAATACTTAAGTGAAGTCTTGAAATAAAGCCCATATTGAATATTATTTACCACTGTAATAATCAAAATGGCCAACACCTGAATTTAAGTCAAAGTTCTTAAGTACTTAAATGGTTAGAAAATATGAATCGTGGTTAACATAGAATACCTCAGCTCTCTAATATTTAAGATTACTTTTTATCTAGACTGTAGACATGACATATATTTATTTTATTTTACTTTTTTTGGAGAGGTTTTTTTGTTTGTTTGTTTTTGTTTCTGTTTTTTTTTTGCTATAGGGTGCGTGCGCTCGCCAGACAGACAGAGACAGAGAGACAGAAAGCAAGAAATCACCCTCCAGGGGCGATGGCCACGCTGCAATCCCTTCTCCTCCATTCTTCTCTCGGGATCTTGGGCATGCACGCACACGTGCCCGGTGTGAGCTTTAAGCCACCAGGTCCGGGACGCGAACCGCGGCTGACTACATAGGAGTCCAGCGACATAGCCGTTACGCTAACTGCTGGTCCTGACATGACATATATTTATACATGAGAAAAGCAGTAGCTCACATACATAACTAAACATACTTGTTCACTCAGACCAAGATCACCAAAAGAAATATTCTCAACATTAGTCACTTAAAAAAATAATAATAGAGGGAACCAGCAGTTAGTGTAATGGCTATGTCACTGGACTCCCACGTAGTCGACCGCGGTTCGCATCCCAGACCTGGTGGCTTAAAACTCACGCCGGGCGCGTGTGTGTGTGTGCCCAAGATCCTGAGAGGAGAATGGAGGAGAAGGGATTGTGGCATGACCATCCCCCCTGGGGGGTGATTTCTCGCTTTCTGTCTCTATGTCTCTCTCTGTCTGTCTAGCGAGCGCATGCGCCCTATAGTGAAAATCTCTCCAAAAAATAAATAAATAAATAAAAATAATAATAGTGATATAATAATTGGATTTTCTGTAGTATAATCTTTGCAATGATGGATTATTTATTTAATTAAATTTAAAAAACCATGAACAAACAAAAATTAATTGCACATTCTCTTATACAAATCTTACTCGCCTGTAATCATCTATAACTAGTGTCAAGCAACAAATGTGAACCAGTCTAAGGTGTGACCTGAATATATAATCAAAGATTTGTTGCAACTGAAGAACTGGAGACTCTAAGTTGCAATCTCCCCTAGACAAAATAATGTCTGCTTGTATTCTTTCCTTAAGTGTATAACCCTGTAACAGTCTGTAAGAGCGATAAGGAGGAAAGATCCCTAGAGATACGCACTGTTACAACGTGATATAACATACACTGATATGTAATGACTTACTTTGGCCACACAATTCTCAGGCTTCATAGCAGTGCTTGCTAGACATACTGTTTCTTGGTTTAAGCAGAGTCTGGCACAGCTGTTGTAAGTCTGTAAAGAGAAATTTTTGAAAACAGGTTTTTAGACATCGAAATACTGCCATATACAGTTCTGCTATATTTCCCCAAATGAACACACGAATAGGTTCTATCTGTAAATTCCAGACTCTGGGAGCTGAAGGACAACATCAAGAAGGGAGGCAGAGAGAGCCCACAACAGCCTCTGCCATGCCCATGAGTGAGTGCATGAGCAGCAGTGGCCTCATGTATGTCTGGAAGGTGGAGGCACCGGAACGTAGTATTTAAAAAATGCAAACTGTGAGAACTTAGTTCTGTTTACAATAGTAGTTACTCTTCTAAGAAAAGGGCTATTTTTGCTATTTTTCTAAACTTTCCAAACCATTGAGGCTTGACAAAAGTGAGAGGATATGTTTCTTATTCAGAAAAATGGATGAAGTATTTTGCAAGCTATCCATTAGAAAATGATTCTTTTGGCCAGCAGGTAAAGTGAAAGTTAAGATACTAGGTCCCACATGGCCAACAGTGTGGTTCAAGTCCTGGACCTGGTGGCCCACAAATCATGCTGGGCACGTGTGCATGCATGTCCAAGATCCTGGGAGAATGGAGAAGGGGTTGTGGCATGCCCAACCCCTGCCCCCGGGTGTGTGTGATTTCTCACTTTCTCTCTAAATACATGTGTCCTATAGTAAAACAAAACAAACAAACAAACAAAAACACAAAACAAAAAGAGAAAGAGAGAAAATGATTCTAAAAGTAATCTTGGAATATTTTAAAAGAATCACAGTACAAGTACATAACTTTGATTATTTTGCTCTAAAAAGAAAAGGATTAACCAAAATTGACAGCAGAATATAAAAAAAGATAAATCAACATTTATCCATATTTTAAAAACATATCCAGGGACCTGCAGTTGCCATAATGGCTATATTGCTGGACTCCCATGTGGTTGACCGTCGTTAGAGTCCTGAACCTGGTGGCTTAAAACTCATGCCAGGCGTGGGTGTGTGCATGCCCAAGATCCCGAGAGGAGAATGGAGAAGGGGTCGCGGTATGGCCATCCTCCCTGGGGGGTAATTTCTTGCTTTTTGTCTCTCTCTCTCTCTCTCTCTCTCTCTCTCTCTCTGTCTTTCTGGCAAGCACACGCATCCTATACGAAAACCTCTAAAAAAATAATAACCATATGCATATCTCAAGTATAGTTGGTAGCCTGTTCAGAATATAAACTAAAACAGAATAGGAAATAGGTTTTAAAAATACTGGTTGCATATTGTTTTCAGGTTTTTGCCATAAGGTACACTTGCTAGAGACAGAGAAAGAGAAAGTGAGAAATCACCCCTCGAGGGGATGGCCATGCTACAATCCCTTCTCCACTCTCCTCGTGGGATTTTGGGTGTGAGTTTTAAGCTGTCACGTCCAGAACTCAAACCACAGTCAACTTTGTGGGAGTCCAGTGACGTAACCATTATGCCACCTACTGGTCCCGAAAATTTGCATTTTTAACTAGTCCTCAGTTGGCATAAATACTGCTGTTGGGGAACACTCTTTGAGAACCACTGATATAAATATCTGTGTTAGAATTTATATCAGTGGAAAAGGAGGAAAATCTTAACACACTGATGTCCACTTTTTTAACATTACAAGATAATTTTTTTTTTGAGAGGTTTTTCACTATAGGGTGCGTGTGCTTGCTAGACAGACAGAGAGAGACAGAGAGACAGAAAGCGAGAAATCACCCCTCAGAGGGGATGGCCACGCCACAATCCCTTCTCCTCCATTCTCCTCTTGGGATCTTGGGCACGCACGCACATGCGCCCGGAGTGGGTTTTAAGCCACCAGGTCCGGGACGCGAACTGCGGTCGACTACGTGGGAGTCCAGTGACATAGCCATTACGCTAACTGCTGGTTCCCGATTACAAGATAATTTTTAATTTTAGATTTACAGAGCAGCTATAAAAACAATTAACGAGTACCTGTTTATCTGCCCCTAGCATTGCCCATGTTAATGTATGACAAAGTAACCACAGAACACTTATCAAAACTAAAACGTTAATTTGGAACTTTACAAAGTACAGAACTTATTTGAGTTTCACCAGTTTTCCCACTAGTGTCCTTTTCCTGTTCAGGATTTAATCCAGGATCCCACACTGCATTTATTTGTCATATCTCCTTAGTTTCCTCTAATCTACGGCAATTTCTTAATCTTTCCTTGTCTTTCATAACTCTAATACTTCTGAGGAATACCGCTCAGTTAATCTATAAACTGTCCCAATTTGGGTTTTTCTGCTGCATTACCATGGTCAGACTGAGGCTGTTATTGGGGAAACATACTAGAGAAGCTACATGCTCTTCTGCACACCTCAATCGGGAAGCATGGCGGTGAGTATCTGGTGATGCTGGCCTTGGTCACATGGCTAGCGACATGTCTGCCAAGATTCCCCACTGGACACTATTTTCCCGTATGAAATATTAAATATATCAGAGGAAATACTTTGGGACCACAAATATTCTGCATCTACTTCAAATTTTGCCTGCTAATTTTAGCATCCATTGGTGGCTCTTGGTTATGGAAACTGTTAATGTGGTGTTCTAATATTAGGTCAATTTTTTTTCTTTCTTTCAGTCTATCTATATTTATTAATTGGAATTCTTCTGTAAGAGTTATGGGGGTCAGCAGTGGTGTGATGGTTAAGACATCCAACTCCCACATGGCTGACTGTGGTTCTTGTCCCAGACTCAATGGCTTGAAATCACACTGGACACGTGTGTGTGATTGCCCAAAATCCCAGAAAGAGAAGGGATTGTGGTGTGGCCATCCTCCCAGGTAGTGGTTTCTCACTTTCCCTTTCTCTGACTCTCTCCAACAAAGCTCAAGTGATATATGGCGCGCACACACACACACACAAGGCTGGGTATGCATACCTAAAGTCCCAAGAAGAGAGTGGAGGAGAAAGGATTGTGGCATGGCCATCCCCCTTGGGGAGAGGGTGTCCTCTCACTTTCCTTCTCTCTCTGGCAAGTGCATATACCCTATAGCAGACTTTAAAAAAAAATTCTATGAGCATAGACACATGGATATTTCAAATATAGAATTTTTTGTCAACTATTATTATTTTGAAAGAGAACGATAAACATAAAATTGAAGATGGAGAAAAAAATAGCAGAACTAAATAGTTCCCTATCAATATTTAAAAGTTTACCTTTTCTTTTCATAGAGATTTTTACTATAGGGCATGTATACTCACCAGAGAGACAGAAAGTGAGAAATTACTACCCCCACACAGCCAGGGGAATGACCACATCACAATCCCTTTCTCCTCCATTCTCCTCTTGGGATTTTGGGCACGTACGCATATGCACTCAGTGTGAGTTTCAAATGACGTGAGACTCAAACCATGGTTGATTACATGGGAGTCCAGCAACATAACCTATTATGCTATCTGTTGGTCCCAAAAGTTTACCTTTTAAAAAAGTCAAATTTTTAAAAATCGTATCTACATAACTGGCTTATTTTTACATAATTAAGTTGAAATTATTTAAAAACATATGTTTTAAAAATCAGGGCAAGCAATCCTCACCCCAGCAACCTGAAAAACATACTGGGTATGTGTGCATGTACACCCCAAATCTTGATGGAGCAGAATGAATAACAGAGAAGGGCCTGCAATAATAGGGGGTATATTCTCCCTCTCCTCTCTCTGGCAAGTACATGTGCCTTCTGGGGGAAAAAAAAAAAAGAAAAGAAAAAAGACCAGTGATGATAGCTGAATTAAACAAAGTCACAGGGCAGGGGGCGGGGGAGGGCAGAGAGGTGGGGATGAGGGCCAGCCCTGTAGCACAGCAGCTAAATGCTACACAGACGAAACAGGATCCCATAATGGCTGACCAGGGTTAGAGTCCTGGTTATAGAAGTTTGGAAAAACAGAGAGGGAGAGAAGAAAGCATCCCCATGGGGAATGGTCATGTTGCAATTCCTTCTCCACTATCTTTTCCTCCATTTGGGATTTTTGGCATGCATGTACATGTGCCCATGTGTTTCTAGCCACTGGGTCTGGGACTCAAACCACATGATTGGCCATGTGGAATCTGACTGCCTTAATCACCAGGTCAGAGAGCCAGCCTCACCAATTCTTTTGTAATGACACAAACATTTGCTATTCATGCACACACCACACAATTTTAAAAAAATGCTATGTTTCAAAAAGACATTCATGAAGTAATTAGTATTTACTGAGTAAAACAATACTTAATCAAAGAGTTCTGGTTTTAATACAGAAAACTTTGCATTAGATTAACCCTCCTGCAGAAGACAATTATAAACCATGGGAAGACACTTTAAAATGACACCGAGGCACTGGAAATCAACCTAAGAAGGCAGAAACTAGAGGAGGAGCACAGTGTTTTTGAAAGGAGAGAACTACACTAGGTGAGATGTGTGATGATAAGCTTTTTTCCACAGTGAGTAGAATTCAATTAGAAAGTCATTGTCTATTGTCTTAATGTATCAGAGGACAGAGTTCGGGATGGCCACAGTGGATGGCGATGGAGAAATCCCAAAATCGAAAGAAAGTCATGGAGGAAGGTGGAAGCTTCTAAAAATGGATACGGGGGACCAGCAGTTGGCGTAATGGCTATGTCGCTGGACTCCCATGTAGTGGACAGCGGTTCGTATCCCGGATCCGGTGGCTTAAAACTCACGCCGGGCGCGTGTGCGTGCATGCCCAAGATCATGAGAGGAGAATGGAGGAGAAGGGATTGTGGTGTGGCCATCCCCCCTGGGGGATGATTTCTCGCTTTCTATTTCTCGGTCTCTGTCTGTCTGGCAAGCGCACATGCCCTATAGTGAAAACCTCTCAAAAAAAAAAAATGCATATGAATTTTCCTCAAGGCCCAGCCTCAGTAGCATAGGTGGCAGCATGCTGAACTACAGTACTGGAAGCCACATGGATGCTTGTGGGTTTGGATCCCAAGTTGACCTGAAACCTAAAAACAATGTTTGCACATGAACTCGATCCTGAGAAGCTGGAGGACTGT